AATTATTACATCTAGCTAAATTTTTAGATGTTCCAGCAAAATCGATTCTTTCGTAAAAATGAATAAGCTTGTCTATTTTCTCAATTTTTTCGCTATTTAAATTTATCAATATTTGGCGACGCGTGTGAATACTATATAAATGTTCTTGCTTAATCATCATTTTACACAAATCTGTCCGGTCACGTTTTCGGATTTTGCTCCTTGATTAGGATGGATTTCAGGCATCAGCCAGGGAGTGACTCCGCCACCCACGTATTCAATTTTCCGAAAAGCTCGGGTGTTTGGTCCATCGCTGCTCGTGAGTCTCGCAGTTGCACAAAGCCGCGGCATGACGTCCAAGGTGTTCCAGCGACAATAGCGAAATACATAGCATGGAAAAGAAATCCCTATGGTCCCCTCTGCCCGTTGATCCCATCGATTCACGGTTCACTTAGTTCGAGTCTTCCCTCGACATTTGTCGTACAACTCACTTCGATGTTGTTACATAACGATTCTCTGTCCACGAGACATCAAATCCCACCCGTCGTCGGTAAACCGGCATATATTTTCCTCGGACTTCTCTTGATCGTTCACGTAAACTTTATGGGTAGTCCGTTTCATTTTCTTCTCGAATCTAGCAGTAGTTCTTCGGAGCTACCACCATGGGATTCCATCGTGCCGCGGCTGGTTCTGTCCATAATTATAGTCCCGAGCGAGCTCAATAGAAAGACGTTTTAAATGATGGTGAAGCATAAAAAACTTGCGTGAGAAAAGTAGATTTGTATGTTATGAGTGCGAGCTATATAATTAATATTAAAAAAAAAGCAATTTTAGAGAAGTTATATAATCTCTTTTTCAAATATAACGTACAATATAATTATAATATCTCAACCGTCATTTAATAGTCCTAATCCCTGCGTTTTATTTCTGCCTATCTCAAGCCTTGAAGCTTTATTATTTTTATTCGTCGAAATTAATACGGGAATAATTCGTGACATAAAATATTCTAAAATAGTCTATGTTTCTTGAGCCTTCTCTGGTTGCTCCGAGCTGACCCACGTGGAGTCTCTCATGTGGCAATAACTCTAAAATTTGATTGCAGCAGACATCGGGATAGGGGCTACCCCCAAGGCAACTGTGGTAATAGGCCCTCAACCCTCGCACCCACGCTCTTTCCGTTCTCGAACTAAGCTTCGGACCAGCTCCGCCACTACTACCATCACCACTACGTCGTAAATAAAACGAAATTGTTGACCGGTACCTTTCGGCTGGTTAAGCGTTAAACAAAGGCCCACGGGATGTCGGGCGCCGTATCTTTGATCTCTGTTTGCCGAGGCATGCATCACCCGCGAGATAATCAGGAATAATTATTTGTTAGATAAATACGATCGCAGCCGGCGATAGCGCGCTAAATTTATGATGGACCGCTTGCCGTTTGTAAATGACGCAGAGGAGAGAGCTCGTTCGCGCGCGCCAAGTTATGAATATTGCCACTCGAAGCGCGGGGCACGAAAGTCGAGCGCGCGTTAAGAAGTTCGCGCGAATTTCGTCTAATGATAATGAATTACATATTTATAATGGATACATAGAATTTCATTCGAATTAAATAAATTAATTCAAATATTTGAATTATTTCGTTGAATTTCTATCGAGCATTATCTTGATACATCTTTGAAGCTCTCTCTCGAGAATAATAAAGTAAAGAGAAATCTCGTAGATTAAGTCACGCGCTTCTCAGTCTGAAGTGACTTTAATATCGTGTTCTACCTGCATGTGTATATTAGCGCGTGTTGACGCGTATATGTATGTATGTATGCACGTCGAGTGATAGACATGCCTCTTGCTGTGTATCTGACTCTTGCGTAACGCTCGGCTAACTCGAATAGCCTTTCTCGATCCTCTCAATGATCGAGCTTCGCGAGAGGATCGTTGCATCTCTACTTCACATTCCTGGCATACCAAGTGAAATCGATGCATTCGCATCGGCTGCATCGGTGCGTCGATGGAGGGTGATTCTCAGATGCAGATATTTTCAAGCACGGACGCCAAACGAATGTGCTTGATTCTCACGGTTGTATCACCCATCGTAGTCTCCAAATGATAGTATCACACTAGATGTATCATATCTGTCAGATACATTTATTTTTTCTATTTCTTTGCGTTCTTTTAAAATAGACGGCAATAATATATAGATTTTACTCTCTAGATATATAGAGAAAGAGAGATATGAAATAAATAAGCGAAACAGATTGCTAAATTATATTTTGGTTTGAGCTAATGATTCGTTATAAATTAATCTTCTCGAAAATGTGAAATATATTAATTCTACGTAAAATTAATTCTTAGGGAGCCCATTAAATTTATGGGTCAGAATTATTCTATTTTACACCATGGTCGATTCAGCGTTTGAAAATTTCCAGAGGAGGTCTACTGCGCGGTCTACCGTGTCGTACATCAACGTCTCGCGGAAGGTGGGCGGACGTCGCGTCAGCGGCTGACGCCCCGCGAAATTGAATCTAAAGGTCCGAGTGTATCCCCACATGCCAGTCCTCCCCACGGAGCTGCAGGGAGGTCGCAAATCATCACCTCGCTACATTTACAACGTTAGATAGCCCAAGATTACAGTCGTTCCAAGCTCGTTCCTACGCTGTAGGAACACAGGGCGCCTCTCTCCCTCGCCCTTCGCTTTCTTTCCCTTGGTTGGGATATTACAGCGCCCTTCGCGAAAGCGATCCTTTGCCGTTCTCGCGGACTCGTTGCCTACTTAAGCGAAACAATGTGGTCCCTCGGCGATCGGCCGCGCGAGTAACGTCCAGCTCGTAAATTATCCGCCGGCGGGGACTAATGAGCTCGTGATTATAGGGACTGGGGATAAAAAAGGGCGTTCTTGTGAATGCACCGTGACGTTCGCGCTGGTGATATATCTCAGGTTCGTTGTTGTCTAAAACGTATATGCGAAAATACGGAACGAATTTTTTTTCCCGACGAGGTAGGGTGAATTCGGCGGGCGATTCCGGAATCAAGCGAGGATGCGTCGGATTCGATTAGATTTAGTCAAGTGACGTGGGTTCGAAAGGATTCTCAAAATTATCATGGTACACATGATGTTTCCAAAACAAAGATTTGTACGTGTTACCATCGTTATCCGACTGAACATCTTTAATCCGCTCACGTGAAATGTAAAATATTATCTACTTCTTTATTTGAGACGAAAAGTCCCACGCAAAGCGGCGGCTCACTTCACGATTCTCCGTTCTTATCTCCCACTTGGAAAGATTAAGAAAATTCACCGTATTACGCGACCTCGCGTAAAGATCTCGGGCCATTATTTACGAACTAAGGCCTGATGATCTCGAGAGGATCAGCCGTATTCCGTTTGCCGATAGGATTTGCTCCCGGCCGGTCAAACAATACGCCCTGAAGCGCGCCATCGGGACCAAGTCTCTCTCTCTCTCTCCCTCTCTCTCATATTTCTCTTAAAACGACGCGAGCGTTCACGTGTGGCAGCAGAAAGGATTGGGAGGTGGGTATTCCCTTGCTTTTTTTTGTTCGCGAGGGACTTTGGTCTCGCACACGAAATTCCAAACATCTTCCTTTCTCTTCTTCTCGCCCAACGGCCTTTCCATGTCCTCTCGCGCGGTTCGCAAAACATACGCGAGCACATACGGATTCACCCTCTCTCGATCGTTTTAAGCCGTTCCCGCGTTTTTACATTCTCGACGAAATCCCCGCGGCTTTGTGCCCGTTTATTACGTTTGCCAACCAAATGATGTCATTAGATACTTAGGCTGGTCTTTATTGTCGTCTTTTATGCCGGTCGAACGGCTTCCGTGAAACGAATTCGTGCTGAGCGTTCACGACTCATCGGTTATCACGCCGAAATTCGTTTGCTGTCTTGTTCACGTTCCTTGGACAGGCGGCCTTACAGTCCTTCTTTTTTTCTTCTCACGGCCACGTGAGAACCAGATATACTGTTTTATTGCCTTTATATTGCCGGATATTTCATGGCAGCTTTCCATGTGAGACTATGCGTCTTGTACACGCGTATCTTTTTACGATAAGCCTTTGTGCGTTACATGCATCTCGAATGCGACGAAACCCCAATCCAAGGTATCCATGAATGATAAACCACGAATATTAGAATACTGATGCGATTGTCTAATCAATTGTTTGCTACGAAGCTAATGTGAAAACAATAGATTAAATAAACTGAGAGTAGAAGATTGAAAAATTTTTGTATCTCTACATGTGATAGCATGGCATCATTGAAAATATCATTGAAAAATGTCATTGAAAAATGTCATTGAAAAATATTCATTGATAATCTTTATCTCTATTTAGATAATTTTTATCTATATTTTGAATACGTTCTTTCAAATTTCACGATAATCTTTATTCTCCTTCAAAGAGGAGATTAGGAATTTATTTCGGTAAGTTGTAAAAATTTTATTTTTTAAATTCAATTATTTTTATTTATGAAGATGGACATTACCAAAAAGATACTAATATAACAAAATAATTAGGAAAAAAAAACTTGGCCCATGAGGGGATCGAACCCGCGACCTTCGCGTTATTAGCACGACGCTCTAACCAACTGAGCTAATGGGCCTGTTGGATGCTGAGTATAACTTTAGTAATTTCCTCTTCGATCATGACATACTTGTCATTTAAATATTAATACAATTATAGAAACAATTTATTAAATAATAATCATAAAATTAATATAAATAGATCAAAATATTGATATAACAGAATATAAACATTTAAGACAATCTTAGTCAAGACTGTAATCAAGACTGTAAAATAATTTTTTGTCAGATTATGATATACCTGTTATTTAATGCAATTATTAGAAAATCGATTTATTAAATAATAATAATCGTGAAATTAATATACATAGATTAAAATATTTACATATATAATATGAAGAAATATAATAATATACAAGAATTGACAGTCTTCTTTTTCAGATGTATTGACATTTTTGACAATCAAAATTATTTCAAAATTTGTTAAATAAATTTATAAGTGTAAGTTAAATTTACAAGAACAAAATGCCGACCGAATTGCCAGTTGATATGCTAAATAAACCTTTGTCGGAGATTGTTTTCAGAAGAAAAAATAACGCTTTATTCAAGAAACTAGCGCGAAAGACTCACTTCAATGTGAGAGAAGTCGAAGGTTATTTAGTAAAAAAAAAAATAAACATACTTTTATACATTATTATTTTTTAAATTTAATGTAATTTCTATATATATGTTAGATAAATTATACTTTTACTACAGCGTTAGCTGTCATACATAGAAAAATAATACAAACTTTGGGCCCTATGACAAGATTGGTGTTTAGAGATGTTTTGCATTCGGGTTTAGATTTTACTGAAAATATTCGGCATCTATATATCGACAGAATTTTCTCTACATTTGACAAAAAGAACGTGTTGCAAGTACGAGAAATTAATATAAAGTATATTTATAAGAATTTATTTTTCTATAATAATTAAAATTATAATCATATGAGTATACAGATTCATCTGGAACAGTGGATTGAAGGACTCTCCACAATTCTTCGCGGCAATCTGAATGAAAAGATACATTTTGCTTTTAATGTAATTTTAATGGTCTCCTATAATCATTCTAACTACATATTTAAGAATTTAATCTGCATCTAAAATTGTATAAAGTTCAAATTGATTTCTTTTTAATTCTGAAAGACTAGATTTTAATTAAAAATAATCATTTTAATGATAATATTTATGAAATGTGTGCAGATATACGATTTTATGCATACGAACAAATTGAAGAAAGAGCAAATATTTCTTTCAATGCGAGGTTGCTTGATTAAACTGCAAACGGACGAAGATCCAGATGAAGCAGTAAAGGTTGATCAATTAACAGCAGTAGATAAGACTTGGATCTTAGTGTTATTAATAAAATATCAATTATCAACGATACTAGAATGTGTATATTCTATGCGTAAAGTTTACATAAAATAATAGCATTTATGGCGTCATAGGATTTGATTGATTCACTGTTGAAAAAGCTCGACGTCGATCGCGACGGTGTGATATCTGAAGAAGAATTTCACAAGGCCGTAAAAGAGAGAAATCTACTGCTGCTAGAATGTATGGGACCGGTGTTCCCGTCTAGAGTAGCACGGCGAACATTTCTGAGCACATTCACTGATCGCCTTGGACGATTCTGATTTTTTGTACATACGTTTTGCGAAAATTATCATTTGTATATAATCGCATACTTGGTAACGTCTATCCTCGTTTTGTCAAAATTGTAACAATAATATTGTATAATAAAAATACAAACGAGCTGTTTGAACTATATTGTCAAGAACTATTCAAGCCAGAGAGAAAACCCAAAAGTGCATCTCGATGCAGCGGACGGGCAAACGCGTCAAATCAGACAGAAAAATCCTCCTGAGCGAGTGACGCTCCAATAAATTTTCAAGACCATCGACGCAACGTACGGCTTTTACGATTCACCGAACGATGGCAATTGACTCGTTCGTTTTCTTCGCAAACAATCGCTAATGGACCGCGATAATGCCGCATCCTAATCGCATCAAGCTGCATCCGTGATACGATCACCACGGGCGACTTGAATCGATCATTTAATGAATCATCGCGATCGTCATACATCTTATTACTATGATCAACGTATAAATAGACGATCGATATCCGCGCACGTGCTATTTATCGTGATACATCGATCGTGACGGTATTTTTACAATCTGTTATTAGTTATACATCGTAAAAACATTGTAAGATAAAAGATAATATGAGCTGAAAGTGCGAAAAAGAGGAAACAGAAGGGAATCTCGAAGGATATCTACTCGGTTGTTCTTCTATCGCTTGGATCGCATGCCGGTCCACCTGCTCCGCGCGATCTCTCGATTAATAGAGACCGCTCGTGAGATACGGAACAAATATAGACCTTTCTTACGAGCGAGACGGGCTGCTGCGCGCAACCCCACCACCGCGAATCGCGGTCGTACGCGTTACGAAGAAGAAGAAAAAACATAATGAATGTTTGAAGGATTCTGAGGACGGACGAATGGCCCGATCCGCGTCTCAAGCAGCTACAACAACAAATTAAATGAGAAAGTCTCGAGGCTTTCGTCGGCTCCGCCGACGTCTCTCGTTCCCTATGGTTCCCTGTTACAATGCGTGGGCGCGTAGGTACCGAGGTGTATGGGCAACGCGTATTTCTTCCTTGGCGATGGTGGGGGCGAGCTGGAACGATATTGTGTAAAGAGTATAATAACGTGCGTATGAAAGGCCGGATCCTTTGTGGGTAGCCGACCGTGTCCTGAAAGGATCTTCCAGGATCTGCTTGTGGGGGTGACGGGGAACAACCTAACCACTGAGGGTTAGGGGCACCAGCTGAGAAAACATGCTCGCGGCGTGTCGACGAGATGTGTTCACGTACGAGCGCGAGCGCGCGCGCCCGCGTGTGCTATAGTCGACGAAAAGAGGCGGACTGACGAACCGATCTGATCTGATTTTGGGGAACGATTGTCGAACGAAATTCCTTTAAAGGAGCACAGTGGAACAGAATGCCGGTTTTTTTTCGCGTTTCGAGAAAGCGCCGCTGTCTCGACAGATTAATTTATTATATTTGGTTACTGGTAGAGATTATGGTTGCCATATATCGGCATTGTAATCTGGCCTGAAGGGACAAACGCGATTGCGCCGAGCGCGCGACTCGGATAGGAAACGAATAAATTATAATCAGAGTCGCACGGTTGCAAAGAGCGATGGTGATTGCGCGAGCCGGTAGCGTCGGGAAATTAAGTCCGTTTGTACTCCGGCTTTCAGTGAGTCTCGCTACTCTCAGGCGACAGATTTTATTAGAGATGAAATATCTCTAGCGAAAGAGATACAAAAATTTCAATCAGATGTAATAATAACGGCAGCGTATATAAAAACGACGGCAGAACCGGGAATGGCAATATAAACGAGTCGTCCCTCTTTCTCGCGAACGTTTTACCGTTCGTGGCGAGTCTCTACCTTTGACGCAGGCTGAAATTGCAGCGGCAGTATGTTACCACGTAATCTAGCCACCGACGACGGCATGGAATAAGCCGCAGAAGCGGATCCCGTGAACGGCGGAAGCGGTGTATGCAACATGGCTGAATACGAAACATAAATTATAATCAGCCCCGGATCAAGCGCGGGATAGCCATGATTACAACGGGGAACGTGATGAGACTCCGGGCGATTCGATTTGCGCGGCCCACGCCCACGCATCAAAGGGACCGACGACGGGATCACGAAAATGTGAGTCTCTTTCCAGCGATAAATCCACGAAGAGACTCTTGGCTGAGCGCGCTAAAGCCTACGACAGCTCTGTTAGCCGAATATTCATACGAGCTAGATTGCTACACGAGGAAGAAAATTCTTGAAGGAAGAAAAATGGAGCCGCGATAGATTGAATTTATTTCTTAAACCCGTAAAGGTGTTATCTTTCCCGTATATTTAAAAGCCTTTGCATTAATCAGAATGTATTAGCCTCTGTCGGGATTTAAAGGGGCAGTTATTCAACTTTACGGCAGATGCAACCCGATACGAATTTACACAGACCTGTCGGCAAGTTTAATTCCCATTCGGCTTTTATTTGCAAACAATGCGCTATAAGGCCCAACTAAAGCCGTACAGTACGCATTGTCGGGGCACAACGATCGCAAACATCGAGATTTACAGCGAATCGTATATCCCACGCCCATGGTTTCGCTAAACCGATAAATTTAATTAAAGCACGTGCCGATAACTTGGAGTGTACTCGAAGGGGAATGCAAGGAATCGACGGGTGTGTTCGATTGTGCAGTCGCTTTCCGAATTGTATCCATAAATATCAACGATGTCAGCATTATGTGGTTTAGTGTGGGACCGTTTGCTTGAGTAACAGTTCATGCGCGGAATGTTCAATGAAGCATGCAGATGCTGTGTACGCCAAGATACACCACGTGTCGTCCAGTTACGAGAAACTTGCGGCATGGGGTCATCCGCGCGAACATGACACCGCAGCTTGTCAGAACAGCGGGATCTGCCTTGACATGGGTACTGGACGAATGAAGTTTCGAAGATTCTGTTAATGAATTCAGTAATTTATTTGTTTCCATATACATGGAAAGAATGATTTTGTGTATGAAAAAAATTTAGTTTGACACAGATCTAAAAATAATTTCGTCAGATCGTCAGAATATTTACGCAGAATCCTTAAGCATGATAATGCTGCAAAAAGTTTTGATACATTCTAGTAACCAGGTGAAACATTTACACAATTATTTTGACGCTCCATGAAAATTATTTTTACATCTGCATGTAAATTTTTAGATGCTTCAGCAAAACCATTTTTCTATGTAAACCGTTCACGCAATTATCACAGTACAGTACAATGAAAATTTGAATTATATCATACATATAGAGTAAAGCGGGATAACTAGGGGATAGATTAATAAAATCTTTTTCAAATTGTATAAAGATTGATGCAATTGAGGTTGGTGCAATAGTGTATGTTTTGTATTTAATCCAATACAACAGTATGCGACTTCAATCCTTTATACAATTTGAAAATTTCTATTATAAATTACCCGCTTTATCCTATTGTATTTTAGTATTTACAATCATCTATATGCGCAACATAATTTGAAAAATATTTCTCATCTTCCATCCGTTCCATTAAAATAATTTTTCAGCACCACAAGGTAATTTTATGAGAGATGGTCTTCAGTAGAGAGCAAATTTGTGGCATTGCGGTCGTGCCATAATTAATCCAATTCTCATTCAACCGACGCGGTCGGCCTCGCGAAATTTCTTTTCCGTCGAAGTGGTTAGTTCAGCTTAGCAAACCGAGCGAAGGAACGTCAGCGATAGGATCTTTGAAAGGCACGGCGGGTAACGCCCGCGTCGTGCCACGCGACTAGACAGTTTTCGGAGAGGGAAGAAAGCAGACGTCCGTCTTTTACACGTGAATCGAGCGTGACGCGTACGCGCCTTGACGGACGGCCATATTAAATCAACTGCCCGGCTCTTCCACTCGTTTGTTTCTCCTTTCAAGCCGGATTCAATTTTCTCCACGGCGCCTTGCAAATCGAGGGATATAACCGCGCGGCTAAAATTTACAAATATGATGCCCGACACAATGCCCGCCTTTCGAGAATGAAGCAGTGGTTGTCATCCACCGCTTCGTAACACTATCAGTCGAATTTCTATTTTGTTCCTTAACTTTTGTATTTTATTTATTTTTAATTATTTTTGTTTACTTAAGAATATCCAAATTTATAAGAGTTGTTAATCCTCGCGATTAATAACCGTCATTTAGACTCGAGATAAAAGTTTTCGGACGATTATACAATTTGTACAATTATATTATAAGGTTGTAAATTGTAGGCAAAAAAGCTTTAAACCTCTATCAATCGCCATAAGTTGAAAGTTTACTAACGTTCTGTACTTTAAAGAGAATACTTTAGAACTTACATAAACGTAATTGCTTTTTATAGCTGCAGTTGTAGTTAAGAATTTTCTAAATTTAGAAATATGAGAAACAGTTCTCTTAAATTTTGTAGGATTTATATAGCGGAGTTCGGTAAAAAGTGTAAAACACTGCGCGTATATTTGCCCAACGGCTGTGCTCGACGAGCTTGATTACCTTCAACAGATAGCGACCCAATTAATGGTCGAGAAAGAGAGGGCAGATTAATATTGATAGAGGGAGACCATCATTCTCCCCTTCTTGGCGGTAAGATCCGGACAAGCTGTGTAAGATAATAGCGGTGCGCAGGCCGAAGAGATCAAGGGATCGTCATAAACTATCTTAAGGTGTCGAGTTTGTCACGGTCATGCGAGATCGAGTTTTCAAAACAGGATTAGGCGTTCTCCAGATCTCAAGAACGATGTATACCATTCTCTCTCCCTCCCTTTTTCTCTCTGCTGCGATCCTGCAGAACGTGTGTCGTCTATTTTTTTTAGTGACGTCCTAGCGGGGCTCTTCTTTCTCTCACATCTTCATATTGCGGACCCGATCGAGGATTATTCACATCCGGTCATCTCTGCTGAATTTTTTTTCCTTCGACCGATCTCGCATCTCCATAGGAGCGCTAAAAGATATCGAGTGGTTTATTGATCTATTCCGTAAGCACCTATTCAATCGAGCGGTTCAATGCCTTTTGCTTATTGTTCGGCTTTCTCC